GGCCTGGAGATGGGGCCCAAGTCGGTCCCTGGCAGGGGCTGGGAGGCTTGAGGGTGCCATGGGTGGGCCTTTGTTGGGATGGGATCAGCCTGCCTGGAGCTGACCCAGTAAAGGTCTGGAGCACCTCTCCTACGAGGACAGGCTGAGGGAGTTGGGGCTGTTGTTCAGGGAGAAGAGAAGGCTCCAGGGTGACCTTAAAGCAGCCTTCCAGTACCTGAAGGGGCCAACGGGAAGGATGGAGAGGGACTTTTCACGAGGGTGTGTAGTGATAGGACAAGGAGGAATGGCTGTAAACTAAAAGAGGGCAGATTTAGATTAGATATTAGGAAGAAATTCTTCACCATGAGCGTGGTGAAACACTGGAACAGGTTGCCCAGAGGAGCTGTGGATGTCCACTCCCTGGAAGTGTTCAGGGCTGGGTTGGATGGAGCTCTGAGCAGCCTGGTCTAGTGGAAGATGTCCTTGCTCATGGCAGGGGGGTTGGAACTAGGTGATCTTTACGGTCCCTTCCAACCCAATCCATTCTGTGATTTTGTGATTCTATAAGGTGTGGAAGGCGTGAAGTGTTGGGTGCTCAAGAGGGCCGGGGAGCAGGACGGTAGTGGCCCACTTAGCCTGAGGAGGGAAGGAGCGATGGAGGGGCCTGGCAAGGATGGATGGCAGTGTTCAGAGGCTGACTGTGGGGAGTCTGGGAGCATCTGAGACTGTGAAGGGACACTGGACAGTACCGCCACGGTGGGAGGTGGCCGCCCTGGGACTTTGATCCTGGCTACAGGGCTTGAGGGAGCTATAGGAGAGTTTGCTGAGGTGGAAGGGCTGGTTGTTGATAAACAGCCTTAAAAGGGGAGTTCAGTCATGGCAGAGAAAGCCTGGATGAAGGGGTTGGGTGTTCAGGGATGGACTGAGGCGCAGTGCTCAGGGCCTGAAAGAAACATGTGAACTGGGTGAGATGAACAGTCTGGTGAGTCACTGGGAAAACCCAGTCAACGTTGGCTGGCTGGAATAGTTTACTGGGATGTTGTGTGCTCTGGGGTTTTCTGCGGGTGGCTGGGGAGGTGAGGGACAGTCTGGGCTGAGAAGAGGAGATAAGAATACACTGTGTGAAGGGCTGGAAGTGGAGCTTTGATGATGTGGAGCGAACGAGAGGACCCGGGGAGGAAAGAAGTGTTCAAGGGGAAAAATTTATTGTTTGAGAGGGAGCACTGTAGGCTGAAGGGAGGAATTGCGGTCTTGCATGCAGCAAAGGATCTGGTCGGCGTGGAGGGCAATGCTGGGAGACGGGTGGGGTGGTGAGGGTATAGTGTAGTCTGAATCAAGGTTGGGGTTAGGTTGGGTGATGGACTGGGGTGTTGGAAACAACTTGGGTTTAGATGCCAGAGTAGTTGGGGTGGGACAAGTGGGATGCTGGCAGAGTCCAGCGAGGACTGGAAGGAATAGTTGGGGCTGCCGAGTGAGTGGTGGTAAGAGAGAGCTGCGGTAGGTGGGGGAGCTGCTGCTGAGGATGCAGCATGTGCAGAGAGCACAGGCAGAAGGAAATAGTGGTGGGGAAAGAGCTTACCCAAGGGCAAAGCCATTTTGTCCAGGAGTCCTCTGGACACAAGCTGGATTCATGCAAGTGGGCAGCATGGGAGTAGGCGTAAGCAAGAGCAGCAAAGGCAGCTCCTGATCTGCACTGGTTTAATTCTGACTGCGTCCCCACCTGCTGGGCCACAGAGGAAGAGACTGAGATAAGGCCTGTGGGATCTGCTCTATTTTAGATCAGTTGATGATGGAGCATGTCACACCAGACACTGAAGCCATCACAGGGTGGACATCTGCTGTGAAGATGAGGGCAGCTGCCTCCAGCAGTGCAGTGCTTTGTGGGACACATTTGGCCTGCAGCTGCTGCTGGCCAGATCTGCTCTTCTGCCTTGTGATGTCCCAATAAGCTGGTGTAGTCTGGGATCTGGCTGCTGTTATCCGAGCGCTTTGTGTGTGGAGAGAGCAGAGTGGGTGTTTTCCAGTGTTCGTGTTATTTGATACAACATTTTACTGCCTCTTTGTCTGTTTTCCATTTCTGGGAGTTGTTCTTTGAATTGCAGCCTCTCAGGCAGAGTGCATGGCACTTCGGGGTGCCTGGTGGACTGGCTGGGCTGGGCAGAGAACTCCAGAGCGCTGCACTGATTTCTAGATTCTCAGCTTTCACTAAAACAGAATAATCCTTAGTGGTAGAAACTCTGAAACACCAGCAAATGTATCCAAAGCAGCTATGGCAGCCTGGGGGTGTGGGTCAGCAGTCAGAAATGATCCAGACAGCTTGATGTAACAATTTACGGCTTGTCATCTGAGCTGTGGTAGCTGCCTGTGAGCGTATTTCTGGCATGTCATGATTGCATTGAGAAGTGCTTAAACCCCCTTCAACAACTGCTTGCTCCAGCTCCAGTGGTAAGAGGGTTAATGCTGAGGTTTAAATTATTTCAGTGTTCATCCAAGTGAGTAAGTACAGAGGGGAAGCGTCTCCTTCTGCAGAGCATACCAGCATTTCTCACAGCTATGGGGCAGGGGTGGTGGAAGGTCATAGGTGGAGCACGGAGGGAAAGATGAGCCAGAAAACTGCATAGCATGAGGGATGTGTAGCGCTGAAGTCTTTGGCACCGTGAAGCAGCATCTGTGGTGGGTGCACAGCAAGGGCGAAGGGAGGCTGCTACATGAAAGGATACGCTGCTTTCCGAAGTTTAGGAAATGCTGTGTGAAGCAGAGCTTGTGGCCTCCTCATCGCTGTAATAACAATCTTTGCTGAGTGAGATGGTATGTTATTGATAGATGGCCGGTGTTTTTCTAAAACCGTTGACTAAGATGACATCATCGTGTCAAAGCCAGGGTTGTCAAAGCCAGGGTTGTCAAAGCGTGGCCCCACTGTACAGTTGAGGAAACTGAGTCGTGGGGTGTCTGGCTGACACTAGGCAGAGCTGGTGGAGAGGATGTAACACCAGCGTAGCTAAGTGCGTAGTCAGGCATCTTTCTCCTGGTCTTGATCAAGCTCATGTTTCCAGGAAAACCAGCATCTATCTGTTGCCTGCTGTAGGTGTACCTAGTACCCAGATTTTCTTTCTTTTGTCCTTCCTTGCTTGCCACTAAGGCTGCATTTAAAAGAGCCCCATTCAAAAAAAAAAAAAGTAGCTTTCAAGAAAATTAATAGCACCTTGCTGATGCAGTTTCCCAGTACATCTCCATGTCATTTTTTTGGTTTATTTTACTGATTGTTGAGACACTGATATGAGAAACTACCTGCAGAAAGGACAGTATACCAGCAACTGGCCCAGACTTTCATGTTCTGAAACCAGACAAAGACTGCTGACATTGTCTGGTACTGGGCATCAGCTCCGCTCTGCGCAGGACATAATGCTTCCTTCAAACTTGCTGAAACCAGAGGAGTTTGATTTTAATTATGAAAGGAGGATTCGTGCTGGTGTTGGTTAATATGCCAAACCAGAAAGTGCTGTGTGACCTCTTTGACAGAAAACTATGTTAGTAGGTTTGAGCTGGAAAAACTTTGTAGGTGACTCGGCTCCATTAAATTTTGGATTTCAATGCAGGAAAAGAGTCTACATTGAATGACACCATATGGTGGAGACACGCAGCAAGCAAATGATTTTTTGGGAGTTTTGCCAGACTAAGAAGTGTTGAATAAACTGTGCTCAATAGATTAATTTACTTTGGTTGTATTTTGAAAAAGACTGGGTGATTTTATGACCATTAGTGACATTTGCAGTTCTGCAGCCGAAGATAAAGGTAATCAGACGTCATTCTTCAGGGCACCAGCTAATCAGTGCAGTTGTGAGAAGGACTCCCCTCCTCCAGCTCTGTGTGCACAGGATTGCACCCTGGACGACAAATGTAGCCTCAAATATCTACCGCTGAAGGCAAGATATTTGGCTCAACTAAGCCCCTCATCCTTCCCCATGTCAGCTTCTCCTGCATGACTTTCTGCAAACATCGCGTGCAACCATCATGTGCAC